GTACCCTGTCAATTCCTCTGAGAATTTTGTAAGTAGTGATCATGTCTCCCCTTACTCTCACAGTGTCGTGAGGTGCATTTCCCTCAGCATTTCCTCGTAACTTATGCCTCTTAGTTCCGGGACTAGTCTACTGGCATACCTCTACTGGTCTTACATATGTGGTGTACAAGGTTCTGAATGATTCCTTACACAGGTTCCTGAAGGCTGTTCTGATGTTAGCCTTCCTTGCATACGCCGCTGATGTTATTCTTTTTATGTGGGCTTCATGAGACAGGTTTGGTGTGATATCGACTCCTAGATCCTTCTCCCTGTCCGTTTCATGAAGGACTTGTTCTCCCATTCGGTATCCGGTGTCTAACGTCCTGTTTCCACTGCCTAGTTTCATTACCTTACATTTACTCGGGTTGAACTTTCATTCAGTTTGTTTAGGTCATCATGTAGCCTCATACTGTCTTCCTCTGTCTTAATCTTACTCATAATCTTTGCATCATCAGCAACAATGAGAGAAACTATTCCCTCACTGGTGACGCCTTGCCAATCTGAGACCTCACCCCTCACAGTTACTCGCTGTCTTCTGACGCTTAGGTACTCCCTTATCCAGTGTAGTACTTTCCCTTTCACTCCTGCCTGCATCTCCAGCTTGTGCACTAGTCTCTGGTGTGGTACTGTGTCAAAGGCTTTCTGGCAATACAAAAATATGCAGTCTGCCCAGTCCTCTCTCTCTTGCCCAATTTTTTTTCCTGGTCGTAGAATTCAATTAACCCTGTGAGGCAGGACTTGCCATCCCTGAACCCATGCTGCTGTTGTTACAAAGTTCTTTCGCTCTAGATGTTCCACTAGCTTTTTTCGCACAATCTTCTCCGTCATCTTGCATGGTATGCAAGTTAGCGACACTGGCCTGTAGTTCAGTGCCTCCTGTCTGTCCCCTCTTGTATATCGGGACTACAATGGCCATCTTCTAAATTTTTGGCAGTTCACCTGTTACCAGTGATTCGTTGTACACTATGGAGAGTGGCAGGCACAGAGCTTCTGCTCCTTCCTTAAGCATCCATGGTGAGATTCCATCCGGGCCTATAGCCTTTGTCACATCCAAATCTAGCAGATGATTCCTCACCTCCCACTGGTAATCTCAAACTCCTCTAGTGGTGACTGGTTTGATATTCCCTCTCTTATCTCTGGAACTTTTCCTTGCTCTACTGTGAAGACCTGCGGAAATTTCTTAATGAGTTCTTCGCACAATTCCTTGTCATTTGTAGTGAATTTGTCTACCCTTATCCTCAGTTTCATTAATTGTTCCTTCACTGTTGTTTTTCTCCTGATGCGGCTGTGCACCAATTTAGGTTGAGTCTCTGCCTTGCTCACTATGTCATTTCAATATTGCCTCTCTTCCTCTCTTCTCACCCTGGCGTATTCAATCCTGTCGCTGTGGTATCTTTCTCTGCTCTCTATTGTCCTGTTATTTCTATAGTTTCTCCACGCCCTTTTACTTTCTTGCTTTGCTAGCCTACATATCTGATTAAACCATGGGTTTCTCGTCTCCATTTTATTTTTCCTTTTAGACTGGGACGAACTTGTCTGCTGCCGCCTTACACTTTTGCGTGATGTAGTCCATCATGTCTTGGGCCGTCTTTCCCCTGAGCTCTGTTTCCCAAGCTACATTTGTTAGACATTTTCTTAGCTTCTCATACTTTCCCTTCCGGAATGCCGACCTGGGCCTTTCCTTGAGTACCTTAGTCCTACTTCGACCAGAAGTATCAGTACAATGTGATCGCTCATTCCCACGGAGGCTTCGAAACCGATTTCCCTTATGTTTGAGTCGTTCAGAGTGAAGACTAGGACGAGTCTCGCTGGTTCATCGTTTCCTCTCATCCTTGTGGGTACCCTGACATGCTGGCTTGAATGTTTAAAGCAATGACTCGTGTCCTACCTCCCTATCATATCTACGTTTTAAGTTATGAATAGTGTTTGCTTCCACTATGTGCTCCTTTAGTTCATGCCATTTGCCCACTACTCTCACGCTAAAAACTTTCTAACATTTCTCTATGTCTCATCTGAGTTTCCAGCTTCCACAACTCATGTCCCCTTGTCCTGGTGGTATTCCGTGTGAACATTTAGTTAATTCCCACTGTCAATCCCCCAAAGTATTTTGTATGCTGCTATCATATCTCCCCTCTCCCTCTTTTTTTCTAACGTTGTCAGATTCAGTTCCTTCAGTCGTTCTTCATATCCCATCTCGTGCAACTCCGGGACGAGCATCGTCGCAAATTTGTAAACCTTTTCCCAGTTTCCTAATGCGTTTCTTTAGGTGGGGTGGGGGCACCATGATGGGGCTGCATACTCTAAGACTCGTCTCACGTAGGCAGTGTAAAGCGCTCCGAATGCCTCCTCACTTAGGTTTCTGAATGAAGTTCTAACGTTTGCCAGTGTAGAGTACGCTGCTGTCGTTATCCGATTTATATGTGCCTCAGGAGTTAGATTAGGTGTTACGTCCACTCCCAGGTCTCTTTCTCGAATCGTCACAGAAAGGTAGCTGTCTATCATTATATACTGACCCTTTGGTCTCCTGTTATCTAGTCCCATTTCCATAACTTTACAGTTGCTCGTGTTGAACTCCAGTAGCCATTTCCCTGACCATCTCTGCAGCTTGTTCAAGTCCTCTTGGAGGATCCTGCAATCCTCATCTGTCACAACTCGTCTCATTTAATTCGCGTCATCCGCGAACATCGACATGTAGGACTTGACTCCTGAAGACATGTCGTTCACGTATATTAGAAATAGAACTGGTCCCAGCACCGATCCTTGAGGTACTCCACTCGTTACTGTTCGCCAGTCTAACTTCTCGCCCCTTGACAGTTACTCTCTGGTTATTGCCTGTTAGGTTGCTGCTTACCCATGCTAGGGCTTGTCCGCTTACTCCCGCCTGCCTCAAGTTTGAATGTGTGCGTGTGCTCGCCTATTTGTACTCACCTATTTGTGCTTGCGGGGTTGAGCTCTGGCTCTTTGGTCCCGCCTCTCAACTGTCAATCAACTGGTGTACAGGTTCCTGAGCCTACTGGGCTCTATCATATCTACTTTGAAACTGTGTATGGAGTCAGCCTCCACCACATCACTTCCTAATGCATTCCATTTGTTAACTACTCTGACACTGAAAAAGTTCTTTCTAATGTCTCTATGGCTCATTTGGGCACTCAATTTCCACCTGTGTCCCTTAGTGCGTGTACCCCTTGTGTTAAATAAGTCTGTCTTCATCTACCCTATCAATTCCTCTGAAAATCTTGTATGTGGTGATCATGTCCCCTTTAACTCTTCTGTCTCCCAGTGACGTGAGGTTTAATTCCCGTAGTCTCTCCTCGTAGCTCGTACCCCTCAGTTATGGTATTTGTCTGGTGGTAAACCTTTGAAACTTTTCCAGTTTAGTCTTATGCTTGACTAGATATGGACTCCATGCTGAAGCCGCATACTCCACGATTGGTCTGACATATGTGGTATACAAAGTTCTGAAAGATTCCTTACACAAGTTTCTAAAGGCCGTCCTTATGTTAGCCAACCTGGCATATGCTGCTGATGTTATCCTCTTGATTTGGCCTTCAGGGGACAGGTCTAGTGTGATATCAACCCCCAGGTCTTTCTCTCTCTCTCTCTGACTCTTGAAGTATTTCATCTCCCAAATGATACCTTATATCTGATCTCCTGCTCCCTACACCTGTATTCATCACATTACATTTGCTTGGTTTAAACTATAACAGCCATTTATTCGACCATTCCTGCAGTTTGTCCAAGTCTTTTTGAAGCCTCAAGCTGTCCTCCTCTGTCTTAATCCTTCTCATAATTTTGGCGTCGTCAGCAAACATTGAGAGAAATGAGTCTATACCCTCTGGGAGATCTCCAAGCACAGAGCCCTGTGGGACTACACTGGTGACTTCACGCCAATTTGAGGTCTCACCTCTCACTGTAACTTTCTGCTTCCTTTTGCTTAGGAATTATTGCTTCCTATTGCTTCCCTTATCCACTGAAGCAATCCTGCCTGTTTCTCCAGCTTATGCATCAGCCTTTTATGGGGTACTGTGTCAAAGGCTTTCCGACAGTCCAAAAAAATGCAGTCCGCCCATCCTTCTCTTTCTTGCTTAATCTTTGTCACCTGATCGTAGAATTCTATCAAGCCTGTAAGGCAAGATTTACCCTCCCTGAACCCATGTTGATGGGTTGTCACGAAGTCTCTTCTCTCCAGATGTGTTACTAGGTTTTTTCTCGCAATCTTCTCCATCACCTTGCATGGTATACAAGTTAAGGACACTGGCCTGTAGTTCAGTGCCTCTTGTCTGTCACCCTTTTTGTATATTGGGACCACATTAACCGTCTTCCATATTTCTGGTAGTTCTCCCGTCTCCAGTGACCTACTATACACTATGGAGAGTGGCGAGCAAAGTGTCTCTGCACACTCTTTCAGTACCCATAGTGAGATTCCGTCAGGGCCAACAGTTTTTGTCACGTCCAGATCCAACAGATGCCTCTTGATCTCATCTCTTGTATTTTCGAACCCTTCCAAGGTCGCCTGGTTTACTGCCACCTCTCCTAGCACAGTGACCTCACCTTGTTCTGTTGTGAAGACATCCTGGAACCTCTTGTTGAGTTCTTCACACACCTCTTTGTCATTCTCTGTGTACCTATCCTCACCCGTTTTAAGTTTCATCACCTGTTCCTTCACTGTTGTTTTCCTCCTGATGTGACTGTGTAGTAGCTTTGGTTCGGTCTTGACTTTATTTGCTATATCATTTTCATAATTTTTCTCAGCTTCTCTTTTCACACTAACATACTCGTTCCTGGTTCTCTGGTATCTCTCTATGTTCTCAGGCTTGATGGTGTGATCAAATCACACCATCAAGTTGTGACTTTTCCCCGCCATGACTCTCTTCTCAGCGAGGATATCTCACGATGTCATTCCAATCGCCTATGTTATCTCAGTGAGGATATCATGATAACCATTGCCTGTGTTATCACAGCGGAGAGAAAAAGTGTCCTGTCGATGCCTGCCTCAAGCACACACACATTATCGGCAGTATCCCGTCGTGGGAGTTGATATCCAGAATAGTCTAGCGCAACAGCATAGTCTAGCGCAACAGCATAGTCTAGCGCAACAGCATAGTCTAGAGCAACAGCATAGTCAACGTCAACAGCATAGTCTAGCGCAACAGCATAGTCTAGCGCAACAGCATAGTCTAGAACAACAGCATAGTCTAGCGCAACAGCATAGTCTAGCGCAACAGCATAGTCTAGCGCAACAGCATAGTCTAGCGCAACAGCATAGTCTAGCGCAACAGCATAGTCTAGCGCAACAGCATAGTCTAGCGCAACAGCATAGTCTAGCGCAACAGCATAGTCTAGAGCAACAGCATAGTCTAGAGCAACAGCATAGTCTAGAGCAACAGCATAGTCTACGTCAACAGCATAGTCTAGAGCAACAGCATAGTCTAGAGCAACAGCATAGTCTAGAGCAACAGCATAGTCTACGTCAACAGCATAGTCTAGAGCAACAGCATAGTCTAGAGCAACAGCATAGTTTAGAGCAATAGCATAGTTTAGAGCAATAACATAGTCTAGAGCAACAGCATAGTCTAGAGCAACAGCATAGTTTAGAGCAACAGCATAGTCTAGAACAATAGCATAGTCTAGAGCAACAGCATAGTCTAGAACATAGCATAGTCTAGAGCAACAGCATAGTCTAGAACAATAACATAGTCTAGAGCAACAGCATAGTCTAGAACAATAGCATAGTCTAGAGCAACAGCATAGTCTAGAACAATAGCATAGTCTAGAGCAACAGCATAGTCTAGAACAATAACATAGTCTAGAGCAACAGCATAGTCTAGAACAATAGCATAGTCTAGAGCAACATCATAGTCTAGAGCAACAGCATAGTCTAGAGCAACAGCATAGTCTAGAGCAACAGCATAGTCTAGAGCAACAGCATAGTCTAGAGCAACAGCATAGTCTAGAGCAATAGCATAGTCTAGAGCAACAGCATAGTCTAGAGCAACAGCATAGTCTAGAACAATAGCATAGTCTAGAGCAACAGCATAGTCTAGAGCAACAGCATAGTCTAGAGCAACAGCATAGTCTAGAACAACAGCATAGTCTAGAGCAACAGCATAGTCAAGAGCAATAGCATAGTCTAGAGCAACAGCATAGTCTAGAGCAACAGCATAGTCTAGAACAATAGCATAGTCTAGAGCAACAGCATAGTCTAGAGCAATAGCATAGTCTAGAGCAACAGCATAGTCTAGAGCAACAGCATAGTCTAGAGCGACAGCATAGTCTAGAGCAACAGCATAGTCTAGAGCAATAGCATAGTCTAGAGCAATAGCATAGTCTAGAGCAACAGCATAGTCTAGAGCAACAGCATAGTCTAGAGCAACAGCATAGTCTAGAGCAACAGCATAGTCTAGAGCGACAGCATAGTCTAGAGCGACAGCATAGTCTAGAGCAACAGCATAGTCTAGAGCAATAGCATAGTCTAGAGCAATAGCATAGTCTAGAGCAATAGCATAGTCTAGAGCAACAGCATAGTCTAGAGCAATAGCATAGTCTAGAACAACAGCATAGTCTAGAACAACAGCATAGTCTAGAGCAACAGCATAGTCTAGAGCGACAGCATAGTCTAGTGTAGAGCAACAGCATAGTCTAGAGCAATAGCATAGTGTAGAGCAACAGCATATTCTAGAGCAACAGCATAGTCTAGAGTCAAGAGCACAGCATAGTCTAGAGCAATAGCATAGTCTAGAGCAACAACATAGTCTAGCATAGTCTAGAGCAACAGCATAGTCTAGAGCAATAGCATAGTCTAGAGCAACAGCATAGTCTAGAGCAACAGCATAGTCTAGAGCAACAGCATAGTCTAGAGCAACAGCATAGTCCAGAGCAACAGCATAGTCTAGAGCAACAGCATAGTCTAGAGCAACAGCATAGTCTAGAGCAACAGCATAGTCTAGAGCAACAGCATAGTCTAGAACAATAGCATAGTCAGAGCAACAGCATAGTCTAGCAACAGCATAGTCTAGAGCAACAGCATGTCTAGACAATAGCATAGTCTAGAGCAACAGCATAGTCTAGAGCAACAGCATAGTCTAGAGCAACAGCATAGTCTAGAGCAACAGCATAGTCTAGAGCAACAGCATAGTCTAGAGCACAGCATAGTCTAGAGCAACAGCATAGTCTAGAGCAACAGCATAGTCTAGAGCAACAACATAGTCTAGAGCAACAGCATAGTCTAGAGCAACAGCATAGTCTAGAGCAACAACATAGTCTAGAGCAACAACATAGTCTAGAGCAACAGCATAGTCTAGAGCAACAGCATAGTCTAGAGCAACAGCATAGTCTAGAGCAACAGCATAGTCTAGAGCAACAGCATAGTCCTAGAGCAACAACATAGTCTAGAGCAACAGCATAGTCTAGAGCAACAGCATAGTCTAGAGCAACAGCATAGTCTAGAGCAACAACATAGTCTAGAGCAACAGCATAGTCTAGAGCAACAGCATAGTCTAGAGCAACAGCATAGTCTAGAGCAACAGCATAGTCTAGAGCAACAGCATAGTCTAGAGCAACAGCATAGTCTAGAGCAACAGCATAGTCTAGAGCAACAGCATAGTCTAGAGCAACAACCTAGTCTAGAGCAACAGCATAGTCTAGAGCAACAGCATAGTCCTAGAGCCACAGCATAGTCTAGAGCAACAACATAGTCCTAGAGCCACAGCATAGTCTAGAGCAACAGCATAGTCTAGAGCAACAGCATAGTCTAGAGCAACAGCATAGTCTAGAGCAACAGCATAGTCTAGAGCAACAACATAGTCTAGAGCCACAACATAGTCTAGAGCAACAGCATAGTCTAGAGCAACAGCATAGTCTAGAGCATAGCATAGTCTAGAGCAACAGCATAGTCTAGAGCAACAGCATAGTCTAGAGCAACAACATAGTCTAGAGCAACAGCATAGTCTAGAGCAACAGCATAGTCTAGAGCCACAGCATAGTCTAGAGCAACAACATAGTCTAGAGCAACAGCATAGTCTAGAGCAACAGCATAGTCTAGAGCAACAGCATAGTCTAGAGCAACAGCATAGTCTAGAGCAACAGCATAGTCTAGAGCAACAACATAGTCTAGAGCAACAGCATAGTCTAGAGCAACAGTATGCCCTCGGACACCTGCATAGTCTTGGGCATCCGGCATGAATTATTGCAACATGTTGAAGTCGACATTTCCAGTAGAGTCCCAGTACACTGTCCTGTGGTACGCCGGCACCGGTCGAGGGGTTAATACATTCAGCTTTATTCATGACTATCCTCTCATGTAGAGTCCGTATTCATGACTATCCTCTCGTGTTGAGTCCGTATTCATGACTATCCTCTCGTGTAGAGTCCGTATTAATGACTATCCTCTCGTGAAGTCTGTATTAATGACTATCCTCTCATGTAGAGTCCGTATTCATGACTATCCTCTCATGTAGAGTCCGTATTAATGACTATCCTCTCGTGTAAAGTCCGTATTAATGACTATCCTCTCGTGTAAAGTCCGTATTAATGACTA